CCTGGGTGGCTCAGTCAGCTGAGCATCTGACTTCGGCTCAGGTCATGATCTCACGGTTTGTGAGCTCGAGCCCCGCATCGGGCTCTGTGCTGACAGCTCAGAACCTGGAGCCTACTTCGGATTCTGTGTCTCCCTCTCTCTCTCTGCCCCTCCCCCGCTCATGCTCTGTCTCTGTCTCTGTCTCTCTCTCTCTCTCTTTCTCTGTCAAAAATAAATAAACATTAAAAAACGGGAAAAAAATTAAAAAAAAAACTATAGGAAATATAAAGAATCACAAGCCAAGCTATGATAACGGCGTCCATCCTTGGAGAAGGCAAAGAATTAATACTTCCCGTGGCACTTCTTACCTCCCCCACTTAGCCATGCCCACTTCCTTCCCACTCACCCCCCAAGTCCTTTTCTTCCTGGTTAGTCAACATTCCCCAGCCCTGACACCCTTTTGTACCCGACTGGAAATTCTACCGCATTGTCAAGGCAACAGGCTCATGCTTTCTAGATGGCCCGTGTCTCCATGATCAGCCCAGCCCACTCTGCAGATTCAAAGCCTCAGCAAATCTGACCACCGCTGGCTACACACCCAGCTCAGCCCCTGATCCAGGTGCCCCCACCTCAGGTCCTTACAAGACACAAGTTCGGACCTGACCACCTTAATGCAACAAGCTTTCCCCGAGCACTTCCTGTGTCCCCAGCCCCAAGACCAGCATACAGAAAAGGATATGAATGAGCTGCGCCCCTGACTTCTACGAGCCCACAGTCCAACAGGGAAAAACAGTCGTGTAAATGGATCTCTAGGATACCCTGTGGTCAACGCTAAAATTAGAGATGTGTCCCCAGTGGGTTGAGGGCACATGTGTCAGAATGATTCACACTGCATGGTCGGAAGAGGAGGCTCCAAAGTGCCTCTGGGTGAGCTCATTCCTCACGGAGACATGCTCAGAGACCTACCGGAAGGAGCACTGAACTGGGGATATGGAGATGTGGGGACTCACACCAGCTTTGCGGAGGGACCCTGAAACACGCCCTGGGCCCCGAGGTCCCCATCTGAAAACAAGGAGGACCCCAGGTGTGGGACAGGAGCTCCTGTAAGTGATCAAGGTCATATTCACCTTGACTCATAGGCTGAGAAACGTCTTCATGGCTCACTGCCCTTCCCATCCTGCCCGCCGCATCCGGGAGCAAATCTGTCTTGGTGTCAGTTTGTCTTTCCGCCTCTCAAACACTTGCCAGCCTGCCTTTTGAACACAGAACTCAGGTCCACAGCCTACATCACCCGAAATATCCGGCCAGGATTTAATAACGTTTTGTTTTCCCTGCACTATTTACCATTACAGTTACATGCTATTTTTGATGATGCATTTTGGTTTCCCATTGGCAGTGATGACATACATAAAGCCTCCTTTGGAAAAAATTTTAACATTAAAAAGTGAGTCAGTTTAAAGTAATATCGTAGATAACACCATAATTGCTATGAACTCTATGTAGGGCAATTTAACAAACATCAAAATTTTAAACACACATACAAAAACAGGCAAAGCGGTTCTAGGCTATTTGATATTCTGACTGTGATTGCCGCCGGAGGGAAGGGGTGGTGACGGGGGTGGGAGCAAGTGGGGGGCTTCTGGCTTCTGCTTCCCGTTCTAGCGGTTGACCTGGGGGCTGATGATACATGTGTGTTCACTTAGTAAAAATCCATCAGGCTGTGTCCACTTATCATCGGTGCATTTCTGTACGTCGATTGTACGTTCACATATACCTCAGGCCAGTTCTCCTTCTAGAAACTACCCTGCAGATAGACACACACGGGTGCAAAATGACACATTCAAAGCTGCTCATTGCACTGCTGTTTGCAGTAACCAAAGATTGGAAACACCCCGAGTTCCCCAGCTGAGGACTGATTGAATGAGTTTGGGCACAGCCTACAGTGAATTCTATCTCGTCATCAGACCGAATGAGGCAACCACTCCCGGATTCGCTCCCGAATTCGCATAGACTTCAATTTAAGTGAGAAGGGAAGGGCAAAACTGTGTATAATGTGCTACCTTGTATGGGGAAAAAAAGAATATATAATACATGCACATGTTCATGCCTAGGGCATCCCATGGCTAGAGTATTATCTTAGAAGAAAGTGACAGGAAACTGACCAGGGCAGAACAGGGGAGAGGGGCGGGAGAGAGGCTTATCACCAATGACTGCTCTTTGATAGTATAAAACTTTGCACAGTGTCCTCACATTTCCTATCTGATAATAAGTTCTAAAGCAAAAAGTCTTACAGAAGGTGCCTGCCTCTGGTGAAACTTATGGTCCCTTCCAGACCTAAAGACTGAGTTGAAAGTGTTACTACTTTGAGCTTATAAAACAAGTAACCCCTGACCCCACCCACATCCCAAGGGATGGTACCAGAGCTAATGGGCCTTCCTAAATGGGTCTCCGATTAACAGCAAGGCCAGTCTAGGACAAATTACTCACTCACACTGGCCTCCGCCCTGCAGAGAAAATCTGGCACCTGGAGCTGCCCTGGCACAGCCGGCAGGTGGCTGACCTCTTGGCATGGGTGGGGGAGGTTTTTAAGCAGAAACACTTCCAGGAATGGGAAGTCAAGGATTTAGTAAGGCAATCTCAGTTGACTAGAGAGGAAAGATTCTGACTTCTGAGTCCCAGCTGGCCCCAAGAGAAGCAAAGCAAGGGCCATTGAGTGGTCTTCTCTCCAGGCTACAGGGACAGAGACAGAACAAGGCCTTGAAAATTCGAGTTCTGGAGCACCTGGGTGGCTCAGTTGATTAAACATCTGACTTTGGTCCAGGTCATGAGCTTGCAGTTTGTTGAGTTCCAGCCCCGCGTTGGGCTCTGTGCTGACAGCTCAGAGCCTGGAGCCTGCTTGGGATTCTGTGTCTCCCTCTCTCTCTGCCCCTCCCCTGCTTGCACTCTCTCTCTGTCTCTCTCTCAAAAATAAACATTAAAAAAAATTTTTTTAGAGAAAATTCGAGTTCAATTGTACCTGTGTAACTTTCTTTTGTACAGCACTAGTCACACCCATATGTCACTATCTCCCCATATCACGAGTCCTAAAAACAATCCAATGAGGTGTGGGGCAGGGTATCAATTGCCCATTTTATAGATAGGAACATGGAGGTGCAAAGGAGGTTAAGAGTAAGAGACTGGTCAATGATTACATCTGGAGGGTGGCAGTGAAGCCAGAAACACAGCCCCCACCTTCTGGCTTCTGATCTTCCCACCTCCCCCCCACCATCAACCTTAGCCTTCTCTCAACTGTGACCTTCAGAGAGTAGAGCTCCTGTGGCCTGACAAGCAAGGAGCAGGCAAAGAATCCAAGAATCAGAACCAAGGGGCCTATGAGACCATCTGGCCCCGCAGTTTATAACCCTGACTACAAATCAGAATTACCTGGGGAGCTTAAATAGTTTAAATAAATATCTGTGCCATGGCCCAGGTATCCGTAGAGTTTTTAAAAATCTCTGGTTGGTGCTGATGCACCTTTGGGAGAGAATGACCCCTACCCCAATCCCACATACAACCTTCTGCCTCCCTGGAGCTTCCACCTTCCTCTGCTCCATCCTCTGGCCCCCAAATGTACTGCTCATCTCTCTTCCACATTACCTAGAACCAGGGAACCGGATTGGGAATTGGGCTGAGCCTCGTCCTCCAGACAGACAAGTATTGAACAGCTGAGACCCCAAACGAGGAAGTGACTTGCCTAAGATCTCCCAGTGAGTCAATAACAGAACAAGACTAGAATCTGGATCTCTTGACCACCAGGCATCATCATATCCATTGAGGGGTCGAGTGGAAAGCCAGACCTGTTTGCTATCAGGCAGATCTAGCTGTTCCTGCTAGGAGAATAGATCCAGCGAGGGGCCCCAAGAAGAGAATGGGGTGTGCATATATTTCAGGAGGGATGGGAGTGAGCGATCTCCCCTGCAGTCCCTGTAGCATAGTGTAGGGGGGTGGGGGGCAGGAGACTATCCTAGAAAGGCAAGGTTCAAGCTGGCCTCTAGAAAGAGGTCCTCGTTTCTAGGTGAGGGTCCAGCCTAGTCTGAAATCTTCATGAAGAAATCAGTCTCTGGGGACAACTTACCAGGAGGGCCCAGCTTCCCAGGCCACAAGAGTAATAATGGCTCACACTTGAGCTTTTCACTGGTCCCTGGGCTCAGCACTATAACTTGGCCTATTTCATTTAATCTCCACGCCCATCCTAAAAGTTAGATATAATTACTGTGTCTGTTTGCAGATGAAGAAACCATGGCCTAAGGAGTTTAAGTAACTTCCCCAAGATCACTCAGCCAGAAAGTGATAGTGGCAGGGTTTGAAGCCTGATTCATGTCCGAGCACTAACACCCTGCCTCCCAGCAATACACAAGAGGAGGTAAAACTCAGTGGCTGCGGGAAGTTACCCAGCATCCAGGAGCTGCTGGAGACCTCCCCGGACGTGGTCTGGTGGAATCCTCCTAACCACTCCTCACCAAGGACAAGTCACGCCCATTCTACTTCCACCGAAAAAGGAAACCGAGGCACAGTGGGGAAACATCTCGCTCTGGGGCATCTGCAAGAAGCTAGTGCGGACAGGACCGGGAGTCCAGGTTTCCCGCCCAGTCCGGACCACAAGCTGATCGGGAGGCAAAGTCTAACACTGGCCGGGCGGGTGGGCGCGGCCAACCAGCTAACCGAGGCCTAGCGCACCCCATGCGCAACAGACGCGGAAAACCAACGCTCTGGGCAGGTGCACACAGGTGAGCCAGGTAGCGCTCCTTCGTTGTAGTCAACTGTCTCTAATGCTCTGGTCCCACCGGCTGCTGAAATTCAGGCTGAGCCGGGTGCCAGAATTTCCTGGTTCCCAGTGAAAGTGAGACGAGAAACTAGGCGTGCCCTCCCCGCGCCCTCCCTGGAGCAGCCAGGTCTGGACCCAACCCCGATTCGGCGTGGGAGCGATCCAGGGAGTGTCGGCAACCCCTCCTCCATCTCAGGACCCCTGTGGGGTCACTCACCCAGAACACCGTGGAGTAGATGACCAGCGAGAACTTGAGCCAGAGGTAGGAGAGGCGCGCGCAGTAGCGCACCTGCTCCGAGTCCCCGCGGGGCATCCTGGATACTGTCCGCGGGGCTGCGGGGCTCCGGGGCTCCCGAGTTAGGTCCCTCGCCGTGAGCAGCCCCACCTGCGGCTGCTAGCCGGGCCGCGCGCCCCGCCACCGGCGCTCGCTCCTGGACTGACATCTGCTAGCCGCAATCACAGCCCCGGCTGGGACCAGCCGGCCCAGCGGCCAATGGGCGCGAGGCCCCGGCCCCGCCCTCTGGAAGGGGGCGGGCAGGGGGCGGGGCTGAGGCCGGGGCCCACCCGAGGCAAAGGGAGCGGAGGGGACGAGGGTTAGGCCAACCGGGTCCCGTGCAACTCGGGTGAAGCCTGTGCGAAGTGAGCGGAGGGGGCCGTAGGAGAGCGTGCACGGTTGGACGCTGGGGAGAGACCAGGCGTACCTAATTCGGGGTACAAAGAAATGCATGCTTCCCACTGTTGTCAGGAGAGAAGACTGTACGGAGAGGGCAGGAACTAAACGCGAAGGTGTTAAAAGTGTGCAAATGAATGTGCAAAACGTGAATGGAATAAGGCAGTGGAGGCGCTCAGCCTGAGTGGGGCGGAGGACAGAAATTAGTTGGGAAGGTGCGGCAAACCAGGGTGGGACTGAGGGGTCCTCTCGGAGCTGGGGCCACGAGTTCACCTTTGTCACAGATCCCCGACCAGCCTTTTTCCAGCAAACCTCCGGGAATCACCTTCTCTGAGGCCGGTGGAGTTCCCAACCTTGCCCCGAGGGCCCCCCTCCTCTGAGAAGCGCTCCCCCATCCATCCTCAGGCCAGGTCCGAGACCCCTAGCGCACGCTTGGCCCCGATCTGACCCAGCCTCTTCCCTCCCTGCGTTTCCTCTGCCTGGGGTCAGAATCTGTCTCCCATGGCCCCATCTTGTCTCATCGCTGTTTCATTGCCAAGCTCAGCCTGGGGCTCGGGAGTCAGACAACCGTTTGTGGCATTCGGTAATTAAATGCGTGGCCCAGAGGTCAGGAGCTCAAGGCAGTGCTGGATGGGGTCCCTGGTGGTGACTGAAGGAATGGCACCCTAGTCCAGGTCCCTTTTTTACACCCCACCCAGAGAGAGACACCAAGCCAGAGCCAGCCCCAGCCCCAGCCCCCCAGGCTCTGCCCTAGAAGGAAGAAAGTAAGATTGGGGTGCAGAAGTGTTGGGGAGCAGGAAGGTCCTGTCCCCTTCAAGGTCCTGCTAGCCAGACTAAGAATCAAACTGACATGACACAGATGAACAGGTGAAAATCACATTCGTGTAGAGAACCCACATAGACATGAAAATTCCAAAGACAGGCAAAATGAGATATAGGTGTCGTTCTGAACTAAGGGGAAGGGGGCAGGGGTCTGGGACTTCAAAGAGAAGAAATGCAATTCACAGGAAGATGAAAAAGAGTAAATGTTTGATAAATGTTTTCAGGGTGCCTCAGGGACAAAGAGGACTTGGATCAAACAGGCCTTGCTAGGTTCCTCCCTGTCTGCCATACCTAGTTTATGTCATAATGTAGTTAGTTACCTGTGTCTTCCTGGAGCCGATTCTCCATCCACATTCTTTTTAGGCAGTTGAGGGGGAGGTAAAGAGCCTTTCCTGAACCTGCTGGGCTGCAATGCTTTTTAATTCGAAATAATTTTCATGCCAAAGTGGCCTATCTTGGGGCAACCAGCCCTTGGCCCCTACAGGTGGAAGGCACTGCCTTGCCCAGAGAAGTAAAAGCAATTCAGTTTCCTGGTACAATGGGAGCGAGTCAGTCAAGGGTGTTTGTGATGGGTAGGGACGTGGAACCAGGAAGGAATAGCCAGGGGCTACAAAGACCTCTTTTAAAAAGTTGTCTTTTAAGGAAGAGGAAACTAACTCTTTACCCTTCTTTGGGGGAACCAGCCTCCCCCACCCAGCCCTGGAGAGCTAGCCTTATACCCTCTCTTTCAGGTCCTGGTCTCATCCCCTACCCCCCTGAGGGATTGTCTGTCTCTCTCTCCCAGAGGGTTAGCCTCCCCACTGGGGTGTTCTTTCCGGTTGCCCCTGGCCTCTGTTCTGGCATCTAGCTAGCTGCACTTTGTCTCCTATTTTAAGTCTTCCTTCGGGACATGCATGTCTGCAGCCCCTCTGGGCTCTCCCTGAGCCCCTATAAGTAGCGCCCTCAGTGATGAGACTATGACAACACCACCCAGGGAGCCTGGAGCTCTTTGGGACTAACACACCCTTTCCTGGGCTCCTAAGCTCTTTCGTTGTCCTTCCCCACCCCTAACCTGCCCCAAGTACTGTGGGCTGCCCGCAGCCACATTTGCGAACACTGCGACCCCCGAAGAAGTGACCCCTTATTTTTTAACTTTTCCATCCTTTTGCCAGGAGCTCTGGGCTGGGGGGTCAGCAGGCCTAGGGCTCATCCTGGTTTTGCCATGAACTTTTTGCAAAACTGTTAGAATGTGGGGCATAGATTGTGTAACGTACAAGTGTGAGTGTGGCCCTGGCTGCAGTTTACAACCCCCTGGTGAGGTTTAAATGTATGCTTATATCCAGGCCTCACCCTGGTTCAGTTAAGTCAGAATCTCCACCAACAGCAACCCAGGAATCGGTACTATCTTTAAAGTCCCAAATGATTTCTAAAGTGCAGCCGGGATGGAGAATCGCCGGCCTAGCGGTAATCATGCGGGCGAGGTGGTCATTTCATCAGATAGGCCACACTCCAGAGGTCACTCGGCTTTCCAGGGAGGTGCTGGTAAAGGTCTAATAAGTGCCAATTGCTGGGGGGTGGATGGGAGGACTCCTCGTGCCGGTTTCCAGAGCGTAAATACTTCCACCCGTGGACCTGGGCCGTTAAGAAGGACGAGATCACACAAATAGCTCCTAACACCTCTGTAGCTGTCCACCCCTCGGTGCACTCCTGAAGCTTTACCGATTAGCGCAGAGAACCCCTCCCATAATGACAGAATGCATCCGTGAAATTCACGGCTCATCAGTTAACATGACAGGTATTAGAAATGAGCTCTCCTTGGGTGAAATTAGCAGCCTGTAAGATGCGTAGATTATCTAAAGTGAGACCCCACCCGTTTCTTGTTCAGAGCGAAGGAATTTCACTTAGGGATGATGCACAGGGCTCAGTCCTTGAGGAGCCCATATCCCAAGATATCTGGTTGCCTGATGGGACCATCAGTCTAGGTAATCCTGTCCCTAGAATGTTTTGTCTTCCTTGAGTGGACCCTTCATCGAGGTGATAGAGCACAAAGAGCCGGGCCTTCACTGAGTTTACAGACGCACCGTACGAACCAATTTTGCGGCTACTTGCTAATAAATGTTTGTTTTATTGATATTCGTGTGGATGTCACAATTTGTTCTGAGATCTGTTGTCATGATAACCTGGCAGGGAGAGCGTAGGAGGAAACAACTAACCCTCACCTTTTGTGGCTCCTACCGTTTACGAAAAAGAACCTAAGGATATGCATGACCAACCTGGCCTGAACAAGGTTACATTCATGCCACTGGCCAAATGATTGTCTGTGCCTCTGGTTCCCCATCTGTGAAACCATAGGTTTCTCTTCTAGCTCTAACAACCTTCGCTATAGTCCTCAGAGTCAAATTGGCGAGCAAATGTAAACTGAGCCTCTCCCGTGAGTCAAGTCCTGCCCCAGGCTCTGAGGATACATCTGGAAACAAGACAGATAAGAATCTCTGTTCTCTTATCTTGGGGAGGGAGTCGTGGGGACATATCTCACAGATGAACAAACACACGAAAGGGAAATTTCAGGCACTGGTATGTGCTAAAGATCTGGAAGAAGAGCTTCCTAATGGAAAAGACAGCAAGTGTGAGGACTGTCAGAGAGGGTCTTGGCTTGGAGAGCTCCCTGGGGCTCGAGCAAGAAACCTCAGGAGGCTAGACGGGGTGACGTCAGATATAGGAAGGGACCTTGCAGCTTTGGTAAGGAGTTTAGACTCATTTCCAGTTTCACTGAGGACCACTGGGAGGTTTTCAACAGGGATGTGATACAAAATACATGCGATTTATGTTTTAGAAGGCTGCTGCACGGAGCGAGGACAGGAGGGTGTCGGCATTGGGAGGGAGGAAGGCTGGTGAGGAAGTCATTGTCGCAATCTCGGAGCAAAAAGGTTGCGGCTGGGCTGGGGCACAGCAGTGGAGCCGGTGACCAGTGTCGGCAACGGGGATGCATCTTGGACGTAGAGCCAACAGGACTTGGCTGTGGAATGTGAAGAAAAGAGGAATCAAGGGTGATCCCAAGGGTTTTTACTTTGAGCAGCTAGGCAAATGCTGCTGTCCTTTACAAAGGCGAGGAAGCTCAGGGGGAGTAGGGGTAGGAGGAGGTTGGGTTGGAAATCCATTACTTTGTTTGGCCATTTAATTTTTTGAGATATCTTTTTGAAATCCAGGTGGGGTTGTCCAGGGAACTCAGAGGGGAGGTTTGGGTTGATTAATAGAAATTTGAGAGTCATCAGATCAATTAATACCATGGGCCTCTGTGAGATCATCTAGGGAGAAGACATAGCAAGAGAAGAGAGACAAAGACAGACCCTGGGGCCCTCCAACATTGAGAGGAAGAGGGGCTGGCAAAGGAAACAGAGAAGGTACAGCCACTGAGAAAGAAAATGAGGCCAGTAAGGTGACAGTGATGCCTGGAGAAGAAAGAGCTTCAAGAGGTTAGAAAAAGTATACAACAGGAGTTAGTGTCCTGGGAACTTTCCTTAATACCCTGAGGATTCATCTATGCCTGAGAGGTCAAGTGGGGACAGAACAGAGAACTGACCACCAGCTTTGCAAGATGTGGGTCATTGGTGACTTTGATAAGAGCTCTTTCAATGGAGCGATGGGACCTAATGCCTAAGAGAAGAAGGGAAGAAATGGAGGAGGCCAGTACAGACGACACCGAGAAGTGTAAACTCCCAGGCAGGTGTAAGAAATCATTGGCCCAAGACTGCATACTTGGAACTCTTCCCAGCCCACTACACAGCCTCCTAGGCCTCCTCCTAGGCCAAGGACACAAGAGTTGGCCTCTATGTGGGAGAATA